TCTTATCTGTCTAGACTTCTCAAATAGGGATTTTGATCAGAATTCAATCCCTAAATTGATTCTTGAATTATAATAACATGATAATCTTATTATTATTATTACATATTTAAAAAATATTTATTATTGTTAAACTTATTATTATTATTATTATTATTATTATTTTTATTTTTTTATTGTTATTATTTTTTTTTTAAAGGCTATACTTTGTGGTGATATTTTATTGACTTATATTGGGTTAGTTATTACAACTATTTTTACAAAAATAAGAGTACAACTAGTCACATGTGCAACTTTTGATTGCTTATTTAAGTAGTCTATTTTAAGGTTCTATACTAGATGCTATATCTATAACTTATTAAATGCTTATTCATTTAAACTCCTTAATCATCTGTTCTGTCATAATGTAACCCCAACTAACCTCACATATATATCTAACTGGTATACTATCTGAGCAGTATGTACTTACTTTTTTTGTACTAGTTCTTAGATCATTACACATTTCAAAGTACATCATCTGCCAGTAAGACATAGAAGACCCATTGTTGTTAACTATTTACCTACTTTTAGAACACTAATAAGGACTACTCTTTCAGAGTTTATCTAGATCCTGGCACTTATTTTATAACATATCCCTAGTACTTTTAGTATACTTCTGCTTTGGCTTCAAACTCTCAATCTAGATAGCCTAAAAGAACTGTGAACTGTTCTTGGTATATTGAGGCTGGCCTAATATTCTTTTCTTTTAGTCTGAAATTTAGTAATCTGGTTGGTAGTACCTCTCACTTAAGGTTCTTGTCTGCCTAATTCCTCTACATTGGTATCTATTTTTTAGGTCTAGTCTTTGCAAAAGACGTTTAAAACCTAACACCTTCTGGTTTTCTAATTTTTAATTAATATTAAGGATTAGGATTATATATAGACTAGAAGGTTAATAGATATATAGTAAAATCATATTTTTAATACTTTTACTTAGTACATCAAAACTAGTTTAGATAGCTATTTTTTATATTTTTGTAATTTTGGCTTTGTTAGACTGTTTGGAATAATATAAAAAATATATCAAAAAATTTTATAAGGTATTAGGCTTTAAATGATCTTCTTTTATAGTAGTATCATCAAAAATCTTGTTACCTCTTTATTTGGAATTTTCAAGTGAGCTCTGGCTTTCTGGTTCTACAAATTTATAGACCCAAGGCCTTATTTTAAATTTGCATCATCCAGTACCAGTTTGCATTTCTCTAGATAATCAAGGTTATACAGATACCTCAGACCTACTAGTTATTTTAATGTGATTATAGTTACAGATATTCTATATTAACTAATCAACAAAATACTATTACTATAATACTGTTGTTAGGTTCAGAAGTTTGCAACTCTGTCGCTCCAAAATTCTAAACCTCATATAATGTATGACAAGTAACCTTTTCGAAAGAGGGTGTTAGATTTGGCTTGTGGGCAAGAAAGGTTTTTGGTTACTTTGGGTCAATGAATGCAAATAGGGTTAATCATGTGGTCAAGGGCTTGAACAGCGATATTTACATGAGTTTACAGGATTTGTAATGGTAATAGTGTTAGTTGTTTATTAAGTACAATGTAGAGTATTGGGATTTATTGTTTTAATGAAGCAAATGAAGCATATCATTCTTAAGGCCATTTCAGCCTTTATTTATAATATAAAATTCGTTACTTACAAATGCAATGTTGCACTTATTATTACTTTAAGGCTACTAAATATTATTTACAATGATATATTTAATTTCTCCAATCATGTTTTATTTCTTTAAGGATGTGTCATTTCCCCTTACATCCTCCTATACTACCCCTCTGAATCTGAAATACTGTTCTTGATCACAAATGTAACTTATTGCATTTCATGTATTTTTCACATGATCGATCATAATATTCGGTATCACAATATTCATCATCACACTGTCTATATATTATATAGATGATTATCCAAATTTTATTATTAGTAAGTTTTGAACTCATAACTTACCACTTGAGAGTATGACAACTTATTTACTTCACTAAGTTACTACACTCTTTTATTGTTATTATTAAAAACTAATACTAATTATTATTTTTATTTTATATTATTTTCAAAACTTTTGTCTCAAACTAACTTTTTATATATAGAGTAGTCCTTGTAAATTCTTTAAGAAGACTATTTTTATAAGATTTATTGTATGTTTTGTTACAAAAAAAGCATACTCATATGAAATTCTTGTAGCTTGCAGTATAAAGTAGTTTGCTGTTATTTAATTTATATTTGAAAAATAGTAAGTTTTTATTTTCTATTACAACAATGAATTAGTATATAGTTCTATAGGTAATAAAAGATAGTTTACTAATTCATTTAATAATACTTGATTATTTTGACTTGACTTTCTCAGATTTTTAAAATATTTTAATGGATCTTTTCTAAACTTTATCATTATTTTATTTATAAACTGAAATAAATAAGAAATTTTTAAACTTTTGATAACTAACTGGCAATTTTCTTTATTGAAGGTTTTGAACTTAGTAGATGAATCCAGTATTTTTTTTTTTTTTTAATTTCCCACTGCTTAGTCGCTAGTGGGCCGCAGCTGGTGGCTGTTTTATTAGTTCATGTTTCAAGTTCACGGGACCTTCTATTAGGACCCCGTCTACATTTTTACATTGTTTGTGTATATTTACAGTACTATCTATATACTAATTTTGTGTTTCTATTACCCCAGAATTTCACCAGGATTATTTCTAATTGGGGATTTCTTTGTTCTATTATTATCCTCAGCCCTCTAATAATCACAGCCTTCTTATGTCAGGTCCGTCATCATTTAAGGATCTGGGTACCAAAGATCTTCCTATTTTTGTAATATGCCATCTGGTGTGGTTAATCTGTAATCATAGTTCTAACACAGTTTATGTCTCTCATTGGACTTGAACCGGCAATCTTGCGATTAGTGACCTGGGAGCGTAACCACTTTGCTATCAACCCACAGGTCTGAATCCAGTATTTTAATAATTTTCTATTAATTTTTTGAATCACTTCATGATATATAGTTATATTTGTAGTTTTATTATAATGATTAAGATAAGTTAGAAGTCTTTAGAAAATTATTTATAATGGACTATATAAAGATAATAATGTTTTTGACAATTCCAACATTATTTTATAAAAAGGTTTAAGAAGCTGAACTATTTCATTAACTACTTTTTAATCTTCTAGTTCTAGTAGTTTTCTTTTAAATTAGAATGAACTAGTACTAAATAGTCTATAATATCTGTAATTTTTATAAGTCATTTTAATATAAGATAGATAGAATTCTATCTTGTTTCAATATCAAGTTCAGAATGAAAAAATAATCAATTAAAAATTATAAAAATTCATTTTATTTCTTCTAAAAAATTAGATGAGTTTCTAATTTTATTACAGATACATCATGTCTGTTTTATTTGTTTAATAAAATGTTTTTGTTCTTCTTTTATAGTAAGATTTAAAATATATGTAATATACCTTATATATATAAAATTAAAGTTAATATAATTTTGGAGATAATATAGACACATTTGATTATTTGACACATTATTAACAATAAAGTCTAAAATTTTATCTTTTATCTCTAAGTCTTTTACAAGTTCAACTAATTTTTTTATAAGATACATATTAGTATAAGATTTATATAAAAGTATAAAATCAAGAAGAAAAACTTTATTATCTATTCTATATCTATCCAGTGAACTGTAACTCCAAAGAATTGTTGTTGATTACATGTTGTTCAAATATTGATAGTAAATACTAATTTATTATAATTTGATTTGAAAATATTTTTTATTTTTAATCTTATTAATTTAATTTTTTTTAATAATTGTAGAGACTGTTTCATAATAGTGTAACTTATACCATAGATCAAGTTTTGAAACAAATTTAATAAAAAGATTATTATTAACTATTGAAAAAGTTAGTTGTTTTTTAATGATTAATTCATATAGATCATGATTAAAGATTTATACATTTCTTTTTGACTTTATCTGTTGTTAAGTACATGATACAAGTAATTTTGGGATTTTTATACTGAAAATCTCTATAAAGATCTGGATGTTTACTTTTAAAATGATGTGAAATTGTTGATAGAGATGTATATACATTTCATTTACTAGGTTTGTTGTCAGAATTGTTAGAACATATTTTAAAACACAAGTGTCATTTTCATTTAAGTTAAGGTAATCATAAATAGGCAATGTTTCTTTTTTTTGATTTGTTTGAACCACTAATACTATCTTTATTTAGAGAACTAGTAGGTTCATTACTAACATTGGCTTCATTTAGAGAATCAAGAACTAATGAAGTAATAGGACAGAATATGATTTTAGAGATTTTTAATGTTGTAAAATTTGTTTTTTTGAAAACAAGATGTAATATCAATAAAAAAAATGATGGTCTTTTATTTGTTTTATTTATTATTACAATAATAAAAAAAAATTAAAACCCGCAATAATCATTAACTTTGATAGGAGTTTCATATTTTAATAAACCTTCACGAAATTAAAAGTTTTTATTAAATAATTAGAATTGCGAAATTAATATACAATTAATTTTAATAGTTCCTATTCGCAAGACTGATTTTTAATAGTCCCCCCTCCCGCAAGACTGATTTTTAATAGTCTCCCCTGCAAGAATAATTTTTAATAGTCCCCCGCGAAATTTTCACGTAGTCATGTATGGATCGGCGTAAATTAGCCAATCAAAATGACCAATTCCCGGGACAAAGTTTGTCCTAAAAAGTCATTGAGTAGTCGACTCAAGGACCGGGTCCTACAAGCTTTTTCACAGCCCTAATATTGCATAGTTGTTACATCAGCCAATCATACGAATGTCCTATGACCTAAAAAGTAACAATTTTCGTTGAGAATTTCATTGTGCGAAATGTCGATTTTAAATTTTAGTAACTTCAATATCCAGCTTATTTACCCAAACATAAATACCTAAGCTGTTTGTGATTTCACCGTCGTCTATAATGAACCGTTTCTCAAGAGCAGAATTAAATTCAACCCTACGTCCTGTCTTACTAGATAATGAGACCATTTTAGCGATACAAGACAATGTTGGACTTTACGATGGGTGCGTGCTATAGTTTTTTTTTTCACTTATTCACTTAAAATTTTAATTTTTTAATTTTATTTTGACAGCAACGAAAAGGCAATTGATTATATGAAAGGCACGGTGTACCTAACTTCACACAGAATTATTTATGTGGATTCCCAAAATCCGACCACTAATTCAATCACTGTTGAAATAAAACTTATCAAAGGAAGGGAATTTTATGTAAGGATTTGAATGTGAAATACATTAAAGTTATTACTACATGAGCTCGTGTTTATTTTTTCTCTTTTCATTTAATTGGTCTGGAATAGATAGATAGGCTTCGTCAAATCCTCACCAAAGATCACTTTACGATTCTCGGATATAACCTCTCCCTATTCCCTATCTGACAATCAGTTATATGCTAGTTCTCCATCTTCTTCCGTTTCTAATTTACAAAGCATCTTAACATCTTCATCATGGATATGTTCTATCTGTTCTTTCATAAATAAAAATCAAGACATTAAATGCCAACTATGTGGTGTTAAACGTATTGAACCTACCATCTCTTCAACTTTAAGTGTCAAATCTGATTTTGAGGGTTCCGTTGGTCAACAACAACGCTCTCCATCTCCTAATATCCCAACTGATGAAATCGGAATTGCATGTGACGTGTGCACATTTTTGAATCATCCAAGCATGATTAAGTGTGAGGTGTGTGAAGCCGATTTGAGAACATTTGATATTAATAATTTAAATTTAGAAAATGATGTCGATGCATCAAAAAATATTAAAGCTGCAAAAAACAATGATAAATCTGATTTTGTGAGATTGGCATTTCGTGATGGTGGTTCAAATGCTTTTTATGAAAAATTGAAATCGGCGATGGCGACGAAAGAATGGGAGGTACGTTTGTCTAGAATCTTTTGCAGTATAATTGATACTACTTAATAATTATTTTTTGTTAATAATGCATTTTATTAACTTGTCACTTATACTGCGAGAGATCCTATCATTTTCAATTTATTATCGATTATTTGATTCCAATTATTGTGATATTAAATAATCTTTTGAATTTAGAAAACACCAGAAACGTCGAACACAAAAGTGTCATCAGATTTTGATCCAGGACTTGGAGGGCTTAGTATGTTATGGTTTTTATTTATTAATGTATTGGATACCATCATGCTGATGCTGAAATTTGTGTGATTATTAAAATATCAAATCTATATACTCTTTTATTAATAAATCTTAAATATATTTTATACTAACCTTAAAAAAGAATCAAAGCAAAAAAAAAAAGCCAGAATTTCATATTAAAAGAGGTCAAATTTCAGTATCAGCATTAATAGTGACGTATAATCTTAAATGTTTCTTGATCTTTTCGAATTTTCACAAATTTGTAGTTGGTATAATTCGTAATGCAGAACAGAATCAAAAGGAACAAAAGGAAACATTGAATCAGGCTTTTAAAGATTTGGATGGACTAATGGCGAAAACATCTGAAATGGTTAATATCATTTATTGTTTGTTTGAAATCACACATATTAATTAAGCAAAATTTCGTAATTTATAGGTTAAACTTGCAGAATCAACCAAGAACAAACTGAGCAAGGAGCTAGATTCAGAGAATTCAACAGATGAAGTAGCCGTTTTTAGAACATATTTGATCGAACTAGGAATACCAAATCCTGTAACAAAGTAGGTTTTATAAAACCTTGCCTCGATTTACTCGAAACAACTATAATTAAGTTGTAACAAGATATTGTAGTTTAGACAACTTGTCTATCTTAGCATTGATTGATAAATATTGTTAATTATTGCTACAGAGATTCTGCAGGATCTGCATATCACAAAGAACTAGCACGACAACTTGCCGAGTTCTTGGATAATTTATTGGAAAAGGAAAATGGCATGATGTCTTTGACAGATATTTATTGTCTTTTTAACCGAGCGCGTGGGGTCGGCAAGTATTTTTTTTTTTCTCAAATTCGGATAAAAAAATTTTTTTTACCATTAATTATAATATGCCTTACTTCTCTAATAGCATTGATATCTCCCGAAGATTTGTACAAAGCATGTTCCCTATTTGAACGTTTAGATTTACCAATGCGATTACGAAGATTTGCAAGTGGCTTGATGGTCGTTCAGTCAGATATCCTTTAACATGAATGAACTTTTGTTGTTTCTATTTCTATTTCATATACATTTACATATTTATCAAACTACATAAGTTTACTGACTCACAGCGATGAACAAATCGCTCAACGTATTTTGCAGCATATAAAAACTACAGGTCCATTGACTGCTATTGAATTAGCTTCATTGGTCAAAATGAGCGTTGCCTTGATAAATGAGCAATTGCAGGTTGGTTGTGATCTAATTTTATTATTATTATTATTATTATTGTTGTTAAAAAACAAACTTTATATTGTTATAGATGGTTGAAGCAAAAGGTCTTATCTGTAGAGATGATAGTGTTGAAGGAGTTAGATTTTATGATAATTTGATAATAAATTTTCAATGGGAAAGAAATAACTAAATTTTTTTACCAATATTTATCAATATTTGTAATATGAAGTAGGTTATAAACATTGTAACAATATGAACCTTTGCTGGTTGTTTTTTTTTTCAAAAAAAAAATATATATAGTTTAGTATGATTTTCCTGAATAAAGTCGTGTGTGGCAACGGTTCGAAGGGCGTTTTCTTAGAAAGATCCATATATAGCATAATGAATTATAAATTATCGATCATATAAATTTAAAAATAAAATTTGATGTTGTCTTCGATATTTACTATGATTATAGACTTTGTCTTGTTAAACGATCTTATTGTGATTGGATGTTCGGGTGAATGAATAACGTTATTTGGTTAAGATTATTGAAGTTGTTTGTGTATAATATAATTTTATTGGTTGAATTGTTACGTACTATAAAAGTTACCAAATGTTAGTATGCTTTTTAATCAATGATTATAGCATATATAAAAGTTAAAAGCTGTTTGAGATAATAAATTACAGATACGTAGACTGAAATTTTAAATGTTTTATTAATTTAATCATGATCATTTATTTGGAACAAGCAATTTACAAGTTAACGAATATTAAAAAATCATTTAAAATAAATAAAGGTAAAGAATATTAAAACTATAGTCTATTCGAATTAGAAGCGAGATAACATATCAAATATAGCGTGATCTCGACATTTTTCTGCTATGACTAACCTGTTTTAAAAACAAAATTATATTTATTATTGCTAAATTATATACTTATTTTAATTAAAAGATTTTTAATTAAAAGATTTTTAAGAAATAAATAAATAGTAAAAATTTATCAAAAAATATATTTAAAAGTTTATGTTAAATAAACCCTTTTTACGTGTTTAACAAATATTATAAATCGGAAAATTATAGTAAAATTATTAAACTTTAAAAAGTCATATTTTTCTCTTTTATAACTATATGCTATACATAAATTTGCGGACCAAATCAAAAACATGCTAAGAGTAAATCATGGTTAAAGGGTAGAAATTACCGGAAGTTAATGAAGCTTTCGGTATTCCAACATTTATGAAAAGTAATAGTAATTTTCCGCTGATTTTTACTATGAAATTTATGCCCTTCAACTGCGATCTACCACTTGAAAGCTTTTTTTTATGTATCAGGTATCAGGTATGTAAAATCCTAAAAAGGTAAAGGTGATTGACATATGACCATCAAAAATCCATTAGATATTTACATGAGTGCTGCCAAGCGAAAGGAACCACTTGGTTTTTTAAGTATATTATGTGATTTAGCCCATCTGATTGATAACACATAGGGTTTTAAATTAATTGAACATGATATACATTTAAAGCTCGGTATAGCGAAGTTCACATTCTGACCTAATGCCTTCATTATATAGAAATATATAGAAAAATTCGGTTATCAGAAGACATTTATATGTTCAGACACATTTATGATGCAAGAATTTTTCATGCAAAAATTCTTTATCTCGAGCGTTAACTGTACAATATAGCCATACTTTAAATTATATAACTGAAAGCCCCAATATGCATATTCATTGATCAAAAAAGCTGGATCACATAAATAATCAATAATATAATTAAAGCAAGTGGTCCTTTTCCCTTGGTAGCAATCATATGAGTGATACACAGCATGGTTAAAAATGCATTTGTTGGTCGAGATCATGTTAATAAACGCGTGACAATTTATGGGTCAGTGATGTTGTCGATAGCACTTCTAAAGTATATTTATTATAAAAAGTGGTTTTATGTAAAGTCAAGCTGATAAACCCATTTTTAGATCTTGAAAATGTGTTAAAAAAAGTTACAATTTTATATAACTTTTATAACGATTTCTGTTGTGTTATATAATGTTCCTTTTATAAAAAACGATTAGTTTGAAATCAAATTATCCTCTTAACAGAAGAAACTGGGATGTGTCCCTGGTGTCCAAACGAACTTCAAGACCTTGACATTTGCATTGAATTGTAGGATTAGTAAAGGTTTGCGGAATTGGGGGTATCAATTTATAAAGGATGATGAAACTACGCCACCAAACACTATGGAGGAGGTAATCACAGCATCCAACGCTACAGGTCATTCGAATAAAAAGATCCTGATCTGGTTGCATATCAATTTGGTCTACGAACTTTGGTATACATTCACAAGTAAGAAGTGGGGGATAATTCTGTTCCGGAATCGACAATGCGGCAGGTTTGGAAAGCTCGATTGAGGAAAGAAATCATAGTACTTTCAAAAAATTCCAAGTTTCAAAAATGTGCAAGTGCACTTTTCAATTTGTTAAACAATTGATGCGGATAGTAGTCATATTGTAATATAATATACTCGAATTATTTATATTGTACGCACGACTGAATTTTTTAACCAATAAATTAAAAAATTAATTCTTAACGCAGATCATATTATTATCAACACTTATTGAAAAATATTCTTATATCATTATGTATTTTTATGTATTTTTTTTTTCTTCCTACTAATGAATCCACAAACTTATTCTTTTCTGACCCATGAGTAATGTTAGACGAAACCTAAGAGTTTTGTCATTGACGAAAGACGAAACCTGGTTTCGTCTTTCGTCAAAAAAAAATTAAAAAGACGAAATGGCGAAACTGGCGAAAGGTGACGAAACTGACGAAGGATAAAACTGTTAAAAGGTGACGAAACCGTTGAAAGGTAACGTAATAAAATTTATTAAATAATTATCTTTTTTTACCAGGAAACAGAGTGTATTGTTAAACGGCAAATTTTTTTGTACAAATACGTGCTTTTGATTGGATATTTCTTTTTATATGCATCATATTAATCACTTATTTCTATATTTATTATAGATGCGAGCTTATTGCACTATTTTACAAACTATGGTTGTGTAATCAGGAATACCAGGAACAGAGTATGCTTGCAATACGGAATGTATGGTTTCGTAAACAAAATCCTACATTGATTGGATATCAGGATCATATGATGTAGTAAATATCTAGAATGATGTTTAAATAAATTTTACTACATAATAATTATCTTCCTAAACTAATTTTTTTACTGATACCCGTTTTCTACATTTTACTAAACTCGTTTTAACTGTAAACCCACAAAGCTATCTAAAATAACCATCTTCAAAACATGCCATTTTAATCAAATGTGCATAATAGTGCTCCGAATCGGGTCGGGTCAACCCGAAACCCGACCCGAAATTTCGGTTCGGGTCGGGTTTCGGGTTAGAAAA